CTGACCAACGTGGAGAAACCCTGTCTCTACTGAAAATCAAATTTAGGCGGGCATAGTGGCTCATGCCTGTAATCCCAGCTACTCAGGAGGCTGAGGCAGGAGAATCACTTGAACTCGGGAGGCGGAGGTTGCGGTGAGCCAAGAGTGCACCATTGCACTCCAGCCTGAGCAACAAGAGTAAAACTTTGTCTCAAATAAATAAATTAATTTAATTAAATAAAAAGAAAATACTGAGAAGAAAAAAACAATAAAAATAACAATACCACCAAAAAACAATACATTAAGGCCAGGCATAGTGGATCACACCTGTAATCCCAGCACTTTGGGAGGCCAAGGAGGGTGGATCACCTGAGGTCAGGAGTTTGAGACCAGCCTGATCAATATGGTGAAACCCAGTCTCTACTAAAAATACAAAAATTAGCCAGCTACTCTGGAGGCTGAGGGAGGAGAATCTCTTGAACTCAGGAGGTGGAGGTTACAGTGAACTGAGATCATGCCACTGCACTCCAGCCTGGGTTACAGAGTGAGGCTCCATCTCAAAAAAGAACAAAGGCTGGGTGTGGTGGCTCAAGCCTGCAATCCCAGCACTTTGGGAGGCCGAGGTGGGCGGATCACGAGGTCAAGAGATGGAGACCATCTTGGCCAACATGATGAAACCCTGTCTCTACTAAAAATACAAAACTTAGCCAGGTGTGGTGGCACATGCCTGTAGTCCCAGCTACTTGGGAGGCTGAGGCAGGAAATCGCTTGAACCTGGGAGGCAGAGGTTGCAGTGAGCCAAGCTCACACCACTGCACTCCAGCCTGGTGACAGAGCCAGACTCTGTCTCAAAAAAAAAAAAAAAACAGCAACAAAATACTTTCATGGACTCTGTTTTTTCCCCCATCTATCTATCTTTCATTTTTTGTTGATTTATTTATACAGTTTTAGTGACATATAAAAATATTTATATATTTTTAGAGTCTCCCACTGTCACCCAGGCTGGCGTGCGGTGGTGCAATCATAGCTCAACATAGCCTTGAACTTCTGGTCTTTAGTGATCCTCCCACCTCAGCCTCTTTTTTTTTTTTTGAGATGGAATCTCACTCTGTTGCCCAGGCTGGAGTGCAGTGGTGCAATCTCAGCTCACTGCAACCTGCACCTCCCAGGTTCAAGCGATTCTTTTGCCTCACCTTCCTGAGTAGCTAGGAGTACAGGTGTGTATCACCATGCCTGGCTAATTTTTGCATTTTTATTGGAGACAGATTTCACCATTTTGGCCAGGCTGGTCTTGAACTTCTCACCTCAAGTGGTCTGCCCGCCTTGGCCTCCCAAAGTTCTGGGATTACAGACGTGAGCCAGTGTGCCTGGCCTGATTCTCTGTTTTGTTTGTGGTTCTTGACCAAGCTGTTTCTCGTATCTGGCAACAGTGGTTTTATGATCTCTTTATTTATCTCTATCAGGATGGTGGAGGGTCTGTTTTCTATCTTGAGAGAGAAGACAGAAAACCTGATTTGTTAGTTTTTTTTGGTCCTTATTTCATGTGTTTGTGATCTCAGGTCTGTTAAGGAAACATTGAAAGGAGAAAGCCTGTTGAGATGTGGATAAGTGAGTTTTTGTTTATTTTGGTTTAACTTGACATATGAATGAATTGTAGAACTGAAGCTTCAAGTGTCTGTGTCTATATGAATTTGAAATATTTTTCTACCTCCATAGTATATCAAATTAAATTATAATATCTCTTAAATTTTAAGATCTAGGCTGGTCACTATGGCGCACACCTGTAATCCCTGCACTTTGGGAGGCTGTGGTGGGTGGATCACCTGAAGTCAGGAGTTTGAGACCATCCTGACCAACATAGTGAAACCCCATCTCTACTAAAAATATAAAATTAGCTGAGCATGGTGGTGCATGCCTGTAATCCCAGCTACCTTGGAGGCTGAGGCAGGAGAATCACTTGAACTTGGGAGGTGGAGTTAGAGTGAGCTGAGATCACCCTACTGCACTCCATCCTGGGTGACAGAGGAAACTGTGTCAAAAAAAATTTTAAGATTTATTCGGATTCTTTTATAGAGCCTAATGAGGTGCCAGCAAGATAAGGAAACACAAAAATTTTCAGAAAATAAATGGAAGTTCTTATGTTTTAAAAGTGCTAGCCTTTGGAGGAATTAAAAAAAGGAAACTTGTCAGATGCGGTGGTGTGTGCTTGTGGTCTTAGCTACTCAGGAGGTTGAGGCAGGAGAAGCACTTGAAGCCAAGAGTCTGAGGCCATCCTGGGCAACAAAGCGAGATCCCATCTCTACCAAAAATTTAAACATTGACTAGATGTGGTGGCACATGCCTGTAATCCTAGCACTTTGGGAGGCTGAGGCAGGTGGAGTCAGGAGTTTGAGGCCAGCCTGGCCAACATGGTGAAACCTTGTCTCTACCAAAAATACAAAAAATTATCCGGGCATGGTCGTGGGTGCCTGTGGTCCCAGCTACTCGGGAGGCTGAGGCAGGAGAATTGCTTGAACTTCGGAGATGGAGGTTGCAGTGAGCTAAGATCACACCATTGCACTCCAGCTTGGACAATAAGAGTGAAATGCTATCTCAAAAAAGAAAAACCGAAGGCCGGGCGTGGTGGCTCAAGCCTGTAATCCCAGCACTTTGGGAGGCCGAGGCGGGTGGATCACGAGGTCAAGAGATGGAGACCATCCTGGTCAACATGGTGAAACCCCATCTCTACTAAAAAGACAAAAAAATATTAGCTGGGCATGGTGGCGTGTGCTTGTAATCCCAGCTACTCAGGAGGCTGAGGCAGGAGAATTGCCTGAACCCAGGAGGCGGAGGTTGCAGTGAGCCGAGATCGCGCCATTGCACTCCAGCCTGGGTAACAAGAGCGAAACTCCATCTCAAAAAAAAAAAAAGAAAAAAGAAAAACCACAAAAATTTAAAAATGAAGGCCAGGTGTGGTGGCTCACACTTGTAGTCTTAGCACTTTGGGAGGTTGAGGCAAAAGGATTGCTTGAGCCCAGGAGTTTGAGAGCAGCCTGGGCAACATTGTGAGACCCTGTCTCTACAAGAAAATAAAAAATTAGTCAGGCATGGTGGTACAGCTCTGTAGTACTAGCTGCTCAGGAGGCTGAGGTTTGAGAATTGCTTGAGTCTAGGCTGCAAGGATCTGTGATCACACCACTGCACTCCAGCCTGGGCAAGAGAGAGACCCAGTCTCAAAAGGCTAGAAAAATACTAGGAAAAAAAATAGAAAATTTTATAGTCTTAACAATGATGTTGAACATGTAAAAACGTATTTGCTGAGTATTTAAAATGTGTTTATGAAGTGTATGTATTTCTTCTCAGATTCCTTTTCATGTTACCATTTCTTCCTACCGCGTTGTCTTTTTCTGATTCAGTTATTGAAGCTTTAAGAGATTAGTGTTAAGTCTTGTTTTGTTAAATATGCTGCAGATATTTCCTCCCAGTATGCATTTGGCTTTTAACTTTGCTATGGTTTCTTTAACCCTACAAAAAGAATTTTGACTTCATGCATTTAAATCCATGAGTCCTTTCCTTTGTGGCTTCTGGGTTTTGTGTGACTTAGAAAGTTCTGGGGGTCTTTACTGTTGGCCTGCTGGTGCTGCGGGTCCTGCCCTGTCCTGCCCTGCCCAGAGCACGGTCCTCTTCCCTTCCTGTGGGTCCCAGTAGCCCCAGGCCAGTTCTGAAGCCAGTGAGGCTGGACTGGTCCTGACCGCTTCCTGTTTGAATATGAGCTCTTCTGTCTTGGGGTAGAAGGGGTGGGCTGTGACAGAATTGCACACTGGGGCTTGGCCTCTAGATGACATGTCCTTGCCTCCTTCTAGAAAGGCCTTTTGTGCTGCAGTGGCTCTGCTGAGATGACCTTATGACCCTGGTGTTAGGCATGTGTGGCCAGTGACCTGGGACACGCTGAGACCCCCCCCCCCCAGCACCCTCAGGTTGGCAGCATCGAATGAGGGGCCAGGTTGAGCATCATGCAGGGCTGTGTGTGTAGTTGGAGGCCCGCAGTCTGTGGCCAGGGGCGAGGCTGTGGTTGGGGCCTGCCCCTTCTGGAGTTGAGATCAGGGACTTTTGGGGCTCTGTTTGGAGCCAGGATGAGGAGTTTCACCCAGGCTCTGAGCAGGGCCTGGCGTTAAGGCCTGCAGGAGGTTAGGGCCTCCTGGTCAGACGCGGGGTCTCCTGGTGCTCAGCTCCCCCTTGGCACTGATCTGGGATCTTTGCTGAGTGCTGCAGCTGCCTGCACTGGGTGCCCTCTGGAGAAGTCCTCAGGACCAAGCTGGGTCCACTCGCTGGGGTCAAGTGGGGTGGGTCCAGTCCTCACTCTGCCCCAGGCCCAGTGGGTGACCCAGGCAGTCCCTGCCCCTCTGGGCTCTCTGCTCAGTCATTCAATCGCTCTTTCTACCCCTCAGGCTTCAGGCACTGACAGTGTCCCCATCATCCACTAGTAGCAGGGGTCCCTGCCCTGCCTGCTTTATGTACACAGGGATATGGAAAGCTGCAGCGGCCGCACTGCTGGTCCTGGGGCTGACCTCGCCCACCAGCTGCTCAGGGCTGGGAAACCCCTTGTTCCCACCTCCAACCCTGAGCTGCTGGGATGCCCGCCTCATTACTATTCCTGGAGCCCCCCTGTTCTTCGGGGACCCAGAGCTCTAGTCCTGAGGGCTTTGTGGCCTGACCTCTGCCCAACCAGAGGCCTGGAACCCTCCATGGGATTGGACATGGTGAGTCCCATGGTCTTCCCTTTCCCACAAGCCCTGAGAAGGCCACCAGTCCCATTCCCTCTGTCCCCTGTCCCCGGCTGATCTCAGCTGAGCACAGAGCCCCCACACTAGAGACTCTGGTCCCCAGAGGCTTTGGGGACTGTATGGCTGGAGGACACCCAGCCTTCCCCAGGCCAGGGTGGGAGGAGCAGGGCAGTATTTGGGATGGCAGGAGAGGGTGGGAGGGGGTTTCAGGCCCGGGGTCCCCTTATTTTACCCAAACCACAGACACACAGACCGGAAGCAGTGCTCAGCCCTCTATTGGAGATTCTGCCTCCTTTGGGGCAGATGTCCATGCTGCCCGAGACTCCTGAGCATGCTCCCATGGCAGGTGGCGTGCTCTGGGTGGGTGTGCAGCAGTGGCCGGTCAGGGTGTAGGGAGGGGACCTTGGTGAGCTTCTGTTTGTGTGGGGATGCCCGTGAAGTAGTGTTGATCCCAGGACTCAGGGCCCCTTCCTCCTCAGGGAGCAGCCCGGGAATGGGCCTTTCCTCTGTGCCTCCAGGTCCTACCCTCCAGCCCATGTCCCTAGAAGGTGGTCTTTCCTTGGAGGGGTCAGACTCCAGCCCAGGGCTCTGGGGTTACGGTGGGAACACTTGCCTCAGCCCAGCACGTGCATCTCCTGGCCTGTTTCCTCCATGGGAGCTGGGACCCTAGCCCCTCAAAGGGGGGATCCCTGAGCGAGGGTCATGGGCAAGGAGCTGGAATGGATGAGTGTGTGTGGGGAGGGGTGACTGGCAGGGGCCAGGGTGTCAGGGGGCTGGGTGGCCTAGTCGTCTTTGTCTTTGGCACCATGTTTGAGGATGCGGGTGAACTCCACATAGTTGAAGTTGCCTTTCTTGTCAATGGGTGCCTCCCGGTACATCTCGTCCACTTCCTCATCTGTGAAGCGATCACCCATGGTGGTCAGCAGCTCCCGGAGGTGGTCCTCATGGATGAAACCTGAGGGCAGGGGCAGGGTGGGTGAGAACAGGGACTTGGGCTGGGACACATATGGCACCCCTATCCCTCAGCCCCCTGGCAGCTCTTGCAGACCTAGAGGGGCTAGGAAGATAGTCTTCGTTGCTGGTCAGTCTGAGGAATGGGGATGTGCGTGGAGAGCTTGCCAGGGTCCCAGGGGGAGGTGTTGTGCAGTGGGACTGTCTCCAAGGTGTCACTCGGGGAACGTGGGACTGTGACACAGTGGGTGCTGGGTACACCCTGTTGTAAACGTGAGCTTTGGAGTTCCACTGCCTGAGTTGAAATGCTGATTCCTGTTCTCCCTAACTGTGTGACTTTGGACAAGGTCCTTAACCCCTGTTTAATCTAGAAAATGGGGATGAAAGTATGCCATGCTGGTGAGGGACTGTGAAGGTGGTTAGGAAAACTCTTTGAATATGCTTCAGCCCCGTGTGGCCCATGGCAATGGCCATCATCACCCTGACATGCCCTTGGGAAAAATGAGCCAAGGGACAGAATGTCCGCTAGGAGATCTGAGGATGGGAGCCAGTTTCTGTACCTTGTTGGCAAGAAAGGCAGGAAATGGTTTGATCTCTGGAAGGATCTAAAGCAGATGGAAAATGTGCACTGGGCCAGCAGGAGAGATCAAGAAGGCAGCAGCCTTGGTGGCCATGGGCTGTTCTGGCCTAGCCTTTGCAGCGAGAATAAGGAGGTGGCCTGGCTTTCATAGTTCTGGTAACAGAACCTGGGAAATGGGTGATATCTGTTCTTGCCCTTAGAGGCAGAGGCATGGAATGCCTGGGTTGGGCCTGGCCCCACTTGTGTGCAGGGTGGTGATAGGGGCACCACGAACCTGAGGCTTCCTCGTCGAAGCAGGCAAAGGCATTGCGGATCACGTCCTCGGGGTCCGTGCCGTTGAGCTTCTCCCCAAACATGGTGAGGAACATGGTGAAGTTGATGGGCCCTGGGGCCTCGCTCATCATGCCCTCCAGGTATTCGTCTGTCGGGTTCTTCCCTGTGGAGGGTAGGGTGTTCCAGCCAGTGGTCCTGGGCCCTTTGTCCCCAGCTGGGGCAACTCCCACCCCTGTCCACCCTGCCCTTCAAGGCTCTGTGTGAGACTGGAGGTGGTGAGTTTTGTGAACTATAAAGCATGGCACCAGGGCAGCCACAGCAGTGGGGCTGGGAGCCCCTGGTTGCTTCCAGGTTCCCTCCTGTGGCCTGGATGTCAGCAGTTGGCAGTGCTCACTAATCTTTGATAAAAACGACCCTCTGCAGACTGATCACTGTGGCTGGTACACCACGTACCTTATTGCATTTAACTTCCACAAGCCCGTGAGGTCTGCACTCTTACCTCCACTTCACAGGTATGGAACCTGAGGCACAGAGAGGCCAGGCGACTTGTCCAGGGTCAGACAGGAAGTAAGGAGGGGACTTGAGTAGACCTGGCATTTGAACCCAGGCAGACTAACCCCAAAGTCCAGACACAGGGCTTTGCTGTCACACAGGCCTGGGTTTGGGTCCCAGCTGTGCACCTTGATTTCCCCCATCTCTTAGGGGAACTGTGAAGACGAGTAAGACAGTAGTTGCAAAAGGCTCATAACAATGCCTGGCACAGGCCTGCGGACTCTGGAACCAACTGCTGGGTTTCTGTTGCAGCCCCACTACTGGGTAGCTGTGTGATGTTGGGTAAATTACTTAGCTACTCTGAGCCTCAGTTTCCTTGTTTGCAGAGTAGGAATGATAATTGCATTTGTTCAGTAGGATTGCTTTGAGATTTAAGATAATACCTGCAGAGTTTATTATTATTAATTTGCTGCTCTTGTTTTTAACTTGAAGATGAAGCCATGACTCATTTGCAGACCCACTGATAGGAGCTACAAACACGAGCCATGTTTCTCTGGGTAGACATTCAGGGCTGTCATCAAGTTTCAGGGGTTCAGAGGAATGGGTGCAGGGTGCGGCTTTGGAAATAGGAAGTTTTCATGTCCCTGAGCCTCAGGCACTCTGCTGTATTCTCCTGGGATGGTCAGGGAGGCTGAGGCTCAAGAGGAGTCCCTCCATGAAGTTGGGAAGGCCCCAGATAAAAACCCTGGAATTGACTTCCTGCCAGGTGGCCTCCTTGGGGAGGGACCCTTCAAGCGAGCCTGGCCTGAAGCCGGGAGAGGTTTGGTGCTCAGGGTAGGGGCAGTGTGCTGTCAGGTCTCCTGCTCAGGACTACCTGGTCCTCCTGCTCCATGCCTTGTAGGTAAACATCAGGGCCATGGCCTCCTTTCACAGAAAGAGAAACGTGCACAGGACTGTACTAGGGACTGACTCCCTGGCCCCAAAGCTCGAGGCTTGACTGTCATGGGGCTGTGTCCTCTGGTCCTGGACTCTCCCTCCCCTAGGCAGTGTATGGTCTGAAAGCTGTCACCTGGGATGAAGGGTGCACAGGAGCTGGGCTGATAGTGGCTGGCTGTGGCCGGCGCTTTGGGAGGCATGTTGGGGCAGGCCCGTGGGCTAGAGCATGGTCTCAGAAGGCCTTACCTCTGGGCCTGTGTTTCATCATCTGCAATAGAGCATGGCACTTGACTTTTGTACCCTTTTAGTTCTAAGGTCCTGATCCTGGGGATGTCACTGGGACCAGAGAGGCTGTGAGAGGCTATGGGTGACCTCTAAAGGAGGGGAGCTGGTCTGCCCCCCCAACCCGGCTTCGGTTTCCCGTCTGTGCAGTGGACAGCCTGCAGTTCACACTTTTATTTAGATGCTGACCCTTTCTTTAAATGAAATGATACCTGGCAGCCCAGTGTACAGATCAGCCTAAGACAGGCCCACTGTGGAGTCAGGCTCTCTAGGTTCAGACCCTGTGCTGGACCTCAGGTCAGTGCCTGACCTGCTCTGTGCCTCAGTTTCCCTGTTAAACAGACGAAGTAATGACAACTCTTCTCTAAGATGGACACCATGTGTCTCACTACACAGGAGATGCCCTGTAAATGCCTGAGCCCCGCCCCATCTCACCCAGCGAGGCCAGCATGTCGTGCAGGTCCTCCTTGTCAATGAAGCCATCACGGTTCTGGTCGATCATGTTGAAAGCCTCCTTAAACTCCTGGATCTGGGACTGGTCAAACATTGCAAAGACATTGGATGTGGCCCGCTGTGGCCGCTTCTTGGTGGTCTTGGCTTTGGCCCGCTTGCTGGACATCTTGGCTTCAGGTGGGTGGGTTTCCCTGCAGGAAGGGGTGGAAGTCAGGGTGGCCCTGTGCCTCTGGGCCGGGGAATCTTCCTGCTTCCTCCAGACTGGCTTTTAGCATTTGGGCCTGGCATTCAAGGCTGCCCACGGATCTGGGGCTCCCACCACCCAGTTCTTCACAAAAGCAGACAAATGTGGGCTGTGTGATTCTGAACAAACTTCCTCTATCTCTTTGAGCCTGAGAGTCCTCATTTGGGACTAGGGGCCTGAGGGGAGTGCCCAGCAGTAGGGACGAACTGACCCAAGAGCCCCTGGATCAGTGCCGGCCATGGAGTCAGCAATTTTGGCTGTGACTGTTTGGGTAAAACACTTAGGATTGGGCTTGGTGCCAGCCATTACCATGCTTTATCTCCTTTAATCCTTAATAGCATTTGTACTATCCCTCTCTCTTTCCAAGTGACAAAGTGGGTCCACCTGTGGGAGTCCGTGAGGGCTCTCTGGGGCTGCCGTCCGGGTTCCCTGGCCCCGCCGGAAGGAGCTGCATTAGCAGTCCAGCATTCCTGCCGTTCCTCACCCTCCCGCTCCATCCCTCCGCTGCCCGCCTGAGGTTCTAGGAGGCTCTGGGCAATCAACCCCCTGCCTGTCAACCTCAGGGAGTCTGACTAGCCCCCTGGGTGGGGTGGTCATAGACTGATCCTGGGTCCCTCCTTGTTCTGACTCCCCAGTGCTTATCGGGGTATGAGGCTTGCTTGGACTTAGAACCCCAGCTTCTTCACCCTTGTTTAGACCTGGCTTCTTAGCCTCCAGCCGGCCTCTTTTGTCCCATATAAGACCCTGACTTACATCTGTCACTTTGAAGCCCTTGAAGGTTCCTGCTGCTTCTCAGAGGAAGTCTGGACCTCTCATGCTGGCATTCAGGGCCCTGTGTGAGTCCCTTCTGGCCTTTCTGACAGCCCTCATGGCATCCCTCCTGTGATCTGTGATCCTGCCCTGCTGACCTCTGCGGTTCCCAGGACACTCCCAGACTTTCCTCTGTGGTCCCTCCTCCTGTGTGCTCTTTCTTCTCCAGCCCAGTTCTTGAGATCCCGCCTTGGGGAGCTATTCTCTTCACCCTTGCTTCCACAGTAAACATCTAAAGATCTCTCTCCCTCATGGGCCAGCATAGATCCCCCAGTTTATACCAATCCCAGGCCACAGTAGGGCTAATAGATGCTTGTTTGATGAATTACTATATGAAGGCAACTGTGGCAGTCTGCTGTTTCCACTGTACAGATGGGGAAACTGAGGCCAGGCCTGAGATTCTTTCCCTGAACACTTGTCATGGCTTGGGGGGATATGCACCTGAAGACCCAGTGCCTCCTTCCCTTGGCTGGGGCAGTGGACCTGGCTGAAGTCTCAGGACTGCGGCCCCTCTTCCCTCTGCCCCAGCCCCTGGGTCCAGGGCCTCCAGGAAGCCTGCTCTGTCTGTTGTTCACCCCAGGCTGTGTGGCTGTGACTTGAGCTGTTTCCAGGCCTTCATCCCATGACTCTGTTCAAGTCATTCTCAGTCCTTGGCCTTTGAGATCTTCAACCCTGGACTGGGATCCTCGCCAGCCCCAGCTGGTCCCCAGGGCCATCACTGCCTGTAGTCACAAGACAGTGGCTGCCCACGTCCCACGGACCTACACACCGAGCCCTCAGTGTTTCTTGCATGGTTCAGAAAGGTAGAAGCCTTTCTTACCCATGACCTGGAAGGGAGTGCCATTGTCCCCAGATTCTGGCCCCTCCTCTCTTGTGGTTTGGATGGGCCCAGTCCTTCCCTGAGTCCAGTGTTCTCTGGAACTTTTGACTTGTGGTGGCCACAGAAGGCTGCGTGCAGAGGGGCAGTGCACTGTGGCCAACAGAGGCTGTGATGGCCATCACTGTCCCACCACACTTGTCCGGTGGAGCTCTAAGGCAGGCATGGCCAGGCCACCTACAGCTGGGTCTGATCCCAGCTGGGCCCCTCTGCCTTTATGGCCACCTGGTCTGCACTTTCTGCCATGGTGTGGCTGGGAGCACTGTTCTTGAGTGTTTGCACAAGGCCACCATGTCTACCCCAGCAATCGTGGGAAGTGGTGCGCAGAGAGGGGGTGCCTCCCATGGTGCAGTTAGAAAAACAGGCCCCAGAAGGGGAGTGGAGTGCCCATGAGAGGGGAAGAAGCCACCTGCAGGCCAGGACTCCTGGGCTAGGTTTGTGTCAGTGGGGAACAAACTTGGTCCCTGGTGCCTTTGAGGCTCGAACAAAACAGGGAGCACCTGTCCTCAGGCGGGCCTGTGGCAGCGGAGCGGCAAAGAGCTCTGTGTGATCAGAGGCACCTTCTGGGCCTGGTGGAGGGGCCAGGGTCAGGCATGGGCAAGGGTCAGGCATAGGCAGGGCCTTTAGCTCTGGGGCCATCGCTTCCCCCTTCAGGGGCCCTAGACACCAGGAATCAGTACTGATACTTGGCCTGGCTGTGACTAGATGCCACGTCCCCCATCCTGGTTTCCAGATTCCCACCATAGCAGCAAAGGCTGAGCTGAAGCCAGCACAGGGCAGTGCCCCCATGACCTCCAGTGTGTGGAGCTGGGCAGGCCAGATGCCTCCCTCTTGAGTGCACCTTATCTGAGGCTCCTCTTTAGAGCAGCTGGAGGGCTGGGAAGAGCAGGGATCGCGTTCTCCCAGCCCAGAGTCCTCGTCCTGCCGCCCCCAGGGGTGAGTCCATCAGGGCTCTTGGCAGACCTTCCCCACTCACAGGTGAGATGACCCAGAGAGGGGAAGCCCAGGTCCACACATATAGCACGGGCTGTGTTGGGAGGGCCCCCGGTCTTCGTCCCCCTCTCCTCTCCCAGGGTGTGGGGATGGGAGATGGGGATGCGGATGCTCTGGGGGGCATGGAGTCCCACAGGGCTGTTCTCCATCAGTGACACACATGGCTCTACTGGGTCCGGGACACTGGCAATCGCAACCCCCTCCCCGGCTCCCCTGAGGTCTGGCGTCTCTAGCTCCTCAGCAAAGGGGCAGAGCCTGGACAGTGTCCTTCCCTTGCCTTAGGACCACTGCTTCCCAGCGGCCAGAACAGCCTTCCTGGTGCCCGGCCTCTGGCCAGAGTCCCTGTCGGCCCCCAGCAAACTCGTAGCCCCACACCCTACCACATCCCGGTCCGTGGGGCCCGCCTCTGCCCCCGGGACAGCCGGGTCGGGCCCGGGCCACCTCTCATCTCCAGCCCTGGGCCATCAGGCCCGTCCTCAAGACCCCCGGGCCCCGGCTCCCACCTGGTACGGAGAAGGCGCTCAGGCTCGCTGGATGCGTGGACCTGGGCCGGCCGTGGGATCGGGACTCGGGGCAGGGGCGGGGTGCGGCGGCCCGGCCTTACAAGGCAGAAGAATGTGCGAGGGGCGGGGCCGCGGGGCGGGGTGGGCGGCCCTAGGCTGCGTTCGGCCTTATTTGGCCTCGGCCCACGGGCTGGCAGGCAGGGGCACTCTGGGGTGAGCCCCCCTTCCTTGCTGTGCCTGCCCGGGATGCACCGAGGTCCTTGTAGGGAGGGGAGGTGATGGATGAGTAGGCAATGGGGGTGGGGGAGTGGGGTTTCGCTCTGGGCTGCCCCTTCCCCTCCAGCGAGGCAAGCAGAACGTCCAGGGCCGCTTCCCCAGAGGCTTCCAGCTCACGCGGGCCGTGGGAGCTCAGCTTCCTGTGGCGGGGAATGGTTCTCGGCGGGCGGGGAGCAGAGGAGATGGGGGCGGCCAGGGACCCCGAAGCCCGATGACTCGCTCTGTCCACATCAGCGGCCGCCTGCCAGAACGGGGCTAAAGGAACTGGTTTTGTGGAGGGAAACATGATGAACAAGCACCTCCGCAGCGTGGGGCCTGGGCGGGGGAGCTGTCTGCGAGGTGCCCTGGGCAGTGACATTTGGGCAGACAGATGCGAGGCTGCACCCTGCCATGAGGGCTTCAGGGCTCAGAGTTGTCAGCCCCAGGAGGCCAGGAGGATGGGGGCGGGAGCCGGAGGGGCTGAGAAGCAGCGGGGACCCCCTCTGTGGCTCCCCATAGGCCACGTGGGGCGTCGGAGAGTTCTGAGCAGGAGATGACGACCTGGCTTGGGTTTTGACCGAATCTGTCTGGGTGCTGTGTTGAAAATAGCAGGGAAGGGTCTGAGTCCCTGAGCAGGGGACCTGTGAGGACCCAGCAAGGGTCAGGCTGATCCGAACTAGCGGGGAGGCCGAGGCGTGGGTGCTGCGGGTGGATTGGAACGTGTGTGAAAGAGAAGAGTCAGGGTGGACTCTTGAGAATTTCGATCTGAGCAACCAGAAAGATAGAGCTGCCATTTTCTAAGATGGGTTTGCTGTGTGGGGCAGTTTGGAGGTAAGAAACTTTTTTTTTTTTTTTTTTTTTTGAGACGGAGTCTCACTCTTGTTACCCAGGCTGGAGTGCAATGGCGCGATCTCGGCTCACCGCAACCTCCACCTCCTGGGTTCAGGCAATTCTCCTGCCTCAGCCTTCTGAGTAGCTGGGATTACAGGCACGCACCACCATGCCCAGCTGACAAAATAATTTTTAAAAACTTTATTTTGAAATGATTTCAAAGTTTTTTGCCGGGCGCGGTGGCTCAAGCCTGTAATCCCAGCACTTTGGGAGGCCGAGGCGGGTGGATCACGAGGTCGAGAGATCGAGACCATCCTGGTCATCATGGTGAAACCCCGTCTCTACTAAAAATACAAAAAATTAGCTGGGCATGGTGGCGCGTGCCTGTAATCCCAGCTACTCAGGAGGCTGGGGCAGGAGAATTGCTTGAACCCAGGAGGCGGAGGTTGCGGTGAGCCGAGATCGTGCCATTGCACTCCAGCCTGGGAAACAAGAGCAAAACTCTGTCTCAAAAAAAAAAAAAAAACAAAACAAAAAAAAAAACTTTATTTTGAAATGATTTCAAAGTTAGGATGAAGTTACAAGAATTGTGCAAAGAACCCTGTGTACCTTCATCTAGATGCTCCATTTGTCACCATTTACATTTATATATTTTTTTCTTGGCATGTTTTATGTTACGAGAAAATATAATCTTTTTTTTCTTTTTTTTTGAGATGGCATTTTGCTGTTGTTGCCCAGGCTGGAGTGCAGTGGCGCGATCTTGGCTCACCGCAACCTCCGCCTCCCAGTTTCAAGTAATTCTCCTACCTCAGCCTCCTGAGTAGCTTGGATTACAGAGATGCACCACCATGCCCAGCTAATTTTGTATTTTTAGTAGAGACAGGGTTTTGCCACGTTGGCCAGGCTGGTTTCGAACTCCTGACCTCAGGGGATCCACCCCCTCCCCCCACCAGCCTTCCAAAGTGCTGGGATTATAGGTGTGAGCCATGGCACCGGGCTATAAACCCGGCTATATTTATATTTATTTATTCCCACCTCCAACCATTTGAGAGTTTCTTGCATGCATATGTCCTGTTATCTCTACATTTTTCGTGAGTACCTCTTAAAAAGGAGATTCTCATAAATATGCATAGTACAATTATAAAAGTTAGGGAAATTTTCACATTGATTTTAATTACCTAATTTACAGTCCATGTTGAGGTTGTGCCAGTTATCCCAATAATGTTCTTTAGAGGAACGTTTTCTGGTCCAAAAGCCAATGTTTCTGAGTGTACAGCTTCGTGGCATGAGGTGCATTCGCTTTGCTGTGCAGCCATCACCACCGTCCGTCTCCAGAACACTTTCATCTTCCACAGCCAGACTCCCTGCCACTAAACACTAACTCCATCTTGCCCCTCTCCCAGCCCCTGGCAGTCATCATTTTTCTGTTTCTGTGAGTTTGTCTGCTCATTCGAACCTCATGTAAGTGGAATCATGTAGTATTTGACCTTTTGTCACTGACTTATTTACCCAGCATAATGTCCTCAAGCTCCAGGGTCATCCATGTTTCGCATGTATCAGAATTTCTTTTTGGGGGTGGGGGGTTTCAGATAGGGTCTCACTCTGTCGCCCTGGCTGGCCTGCAGTGGCACAATTATAGCTCACTGCAGTCTTGACCTAGGCTCAAGCAGTCCTCCTGCCTCGACCCTCCCCAAATAGCTAGGGCTGCAGGCATGTGGCAGCACACCCGGTTAATCCTTTTGTAGAAACAAGGTCCCCCGCTTGGACCTCCCAAAGTGCTGGGATGATAGGCTTGAGCCACTGTGCTTGGCCCTGGCTAATTTTTTAAAAATTCTTTTTGTAGAAATGGGGTCTTGCCATGTTGCCCAGGCTCTCGTCCTTTTTAAGGCTGAATAATACTCCATTGTATGCATATTTTGTTTATCCATCCATCATGGACGGCACTCGGGTTGCTTCCACTTTTTGGCTGTTCTGAATAATGCTCCTGTGAACGTGGTCTCTTCAAGTCCCCACTGTTGTTTTTTTAACCTGACATTGTGAACATATAAGTCTCTGTTTTCAATTCTTTTGGTCATATGCCCAGAAATGGAATTGCTGGATCAAATGGTTATTCTATTTTTAATATTATGAAGAACTGCAATAACTGTTTCCTGCAGTGGCTGTACCATTTTAAATTCCCATCAATATTGTACAAGGGGCTGGGTGCGGTGGCTCTTGCCTGTAATCTCAGCACTTTGAGGCCAGGAGTTCAAGACAAGCCTGGCCAGCATGGTGAACCCCATCTGTCCCAAAAATACAAAAATTAGCTGGATGTGATGGTGCGTGCCTGTAATCCCAGCTACTCTGGAGGCTGAGGCAGGAGAATTGCTTGAACCCGGGAGGTGGAGATTGCAGTGAGACAAGATGGTGCCATTGAACTCCAGCTTGACAGGGTGAGATTTGGTCTCAAAAAAAAAAAAAAAAAGGAAAAAAAAAGTTCTTTGCCCATTTTAAAGAGCAAGTGGTTTTTTTTTTTTTTTTTTTTTTTTTTTTTTTTTTTTTTTTTTTTTTTTTTTTTTTTTTTTTTTTTTTTTTTTTTTTGAGACGGAGTTTCGCTCTTGTTACCCAGGCTGGAGTGCAATGGCGCGATCTCGGCTCACCGCAACCTCCACCTCCTGGGTTCAGGCAATTCTCCTGCCTCAGCCTCCGGAGTAGCTGGGATTACAGGCACGCGCCACCATGCTCAGCTAATTTTTTGCACCATTAGTAGAGACGGGGTTTCACCATGTTGACCAGGATGGTCTCGATCTCTTGACCTCGTGATCCACCCGCCTCGGCCTCCCAAAGTGCTGGGATTACAGGCTTGAGCCACTGCGCCCGGCTGCAAGTGGTTTTTTTTTTGTTAGATTCTCGGTGTTTTAAAAACATATTTTGGATATTAATCCCTTTATATGATTTGCAAACATATATATACATATATATGTTTGTAATATATATATGTTTGTAATATATATATTTATATATGTGTGTGTGTGTATAGATACACACACACACACACACACACACACACACACATATGTGTGTGTGTATATATATTTTTTTAGAGATGGGGTTTCTCTGTGTTTGTCAGGTCTGGAACTCCTGACCTCAGATGGTCTGCTCACCTCGGCCTCCCAAAGTGCTGGGATTTCAGGCGTGAGTCACCATGGCCAGCCTATATATTTTTTTAAGATGGAGTTTCACTCTTGTTGCCCAGGCTGGAGTGCAGTGGTGCAATCTCTGCTCACTGCAACCTCTGCCTCTCAGGTTCAAGTGATTCTCCTGCCTCAGCCTCCCGAGTAGCTGGGATTACAGGCACGCACCACCATGCCCAGTTATTTTTGTATTTTTTAGTAGAGATGGGGTTTCTCTATGTTGGTCAGGCTGGTCTCAAACTCCTGACCTCAGGTGATCTGCCTGCCTTGGCCTCCCAAAGTGCTGGGATTACAGGCGTGAGCCAACGCACCTGGCCTGCAAATATTTTTCTTATTCTAAAGGTTTTCCATATTTTAAAGAAAAGCTTAAATTGTTATTTATAAACCATAAAATTCATCTACAAAGTATGCAATTCAGTGGTTTTAGTGTGTCTACAAAGCTATGTAATCAACAACACCGCTATGTAGTTCCAGAACATTTTAGTAAGTAATCCCCCAAAGAAACTCTGTACCTGTCAGCAGGCATTCCTCATTTTCCTCTCACTGCAGCCCCTGGTGACTGTGGATCCACTTTCCCTCTCTGTCAGTTTGCTTACTCTAGACATTTGTTTCTGTGTTTTGAGATGGAGTCTTGCTCTGTCACCCAGATGGGAGTGCACTGGCATGATCTTGGCTCACTGCAACCTCTGCCTCTTGGGTTCAAGTGACTCTCCTGCCTCAGCCTCCCTAGTAGCTGAGACTAAAGGCACTGGCTACCATGCTCCGGCTCATTTTTGTATTTTCAGTAGAAATGGGGTTTTGGGCCGGGCGCTGTGGCTCACGCCTGTA